TTTTTTTGGTTTGAAACTCGACAGGAAGACCAAACTGACCTAGGAATCTGCCTGCCTCTGCCTCTGCCCCTTGAGGAGGTCGTCGCGCTTCTGCTATGATCAAAGGTGTGAGACACCATGGCCCCAACAACTGCTCTTTGTTTGAGACATGGTTTCTCTGTGCAACAGCCCTGGCAGTCCTAGAACCCACTCTGCAGACCAGGCTGGCCTTGAACTCAGAGGTCCGCCTGCCTCTGCCTCCCAAGTGCTGGGATTAAAGGCATGAACCACCATATCTGGCCAAAGCTGCTCTTCTTAAAGGAAAAAAGAGAGAGAGAGACAGAATGGATTCTGGAACTCATTTGATTTGATGATGATCTCTATCACAGTGACATTAACCAAGTCATTTAATTGAATCCACATAACAGATCTACCAAGACTACATCATAGAGTGGTAAGAATATTAACAGACTATTTTTAAAGCACTGAGCTACTGTACACTACAGTAGTGTAAATGATCAAAAAATGGCAGCAGCCACTGCCATTATTCCATGATCCTCTATTCTAGGCAAACCAATGCAATCACTCTACAAATAGCTATGTTTTCGCCTTCATGGGTCCTGACTTCCTTAACCACAGCCCATTAGAAAGGGGGTGGGCCTCAGAGAAGACAATATCTGTCACTGTTCAGTCTTGGCTCAATTCTCTGCTTTAATTATTATCAAATGATTTAATTTGATGATGACTACTAAATGCAATACAAGTGCATGGAACATAACAGATCTTAGTAAATACTGTTGAAGGGCTGGCAAGATGGCTCAGCAGACAACAGAGCTTGTTACGCAAGCCTGACGACCCGAGTTCGACACCCAGAACTCACTGTGAAAGGGAAGGACTGAGTCCTGAAAGGTGGCTTCTGACTTCCACCCGTGTACTGTGGCAGGTGCGTGCCCACGCTCACAGTCACTCACATACACATACTCTTAATCTTAAGAATATATGTGATAAATATGCTATTTGTTAAAGGAAAATGTAGCTAGCGTGGATTTTATTATCTCTAAGATGTTAATAAGCCGTAGGGATCTACAATGAAACTTTTTATAAAAGTACCCAATTGTTCTAAATTACTATAGTTTGAAGTAGACAAACCAGGAATAAAATCCTAATAGGCTAGGAACAAAAAGTTGCTGCAACTCAATACAATGTCTTCCCAGCAGCTTTCGGCTTTCCAGGAGATTAAGTATCTTTACACTGTTTCTCTCTGGTCTGCCAATAGAGCTGAATGGAGCCTCCTGCTTGTAATCCCAACACTGAATTCAAGGTTAGCCTGAGCTACAGGAGTGCAGGCCAGCCAGGGCTATGTAGCAAGACTCTGACTAGAAAAACGAAATAATAATAATGATGATGTTTGAGTCAGGAATTTATGTTTAGTGCTAAATGTAAATTAATAAACGTCACAAATTTTCAATACAAAATTAAGATACAAGCCAGGCGGTGATGGCTCACATCTGTAATCCCATGATTTGGGAGGCAGAGGCAGTCAGATCTCTGTGAGTTCAAGGCCAGCCTGGTCTACACAGAGAGTTCCAGGACAGTCAGAGCTGTATAGTGAGAGCCCATCTTGGAAAAACAACAGCAAAAGAATGCTCCTGAAACCTGGAACAGGGCTCTTTCCCCACACCATTCCGCATCTCAGCTGATCTCTTCCATGCTTGCTTAGTCAGAAAACAAAGTGAACTAAATTACATGAACTCTCCACAAGACAACTGACTCTAATCATATGACAGGGCTTCTACTGGTGTTTGTGTGTCCCAAAGACGACTTGTGAGGAACGAAGATCCTAGCACACAAATGGTGTGGTTCTATTATAATTACTAATTACTTTTGTTCCAGAAAGGATCCTCCTCTTGTGTGTGTGTGTGTGTGTGTGTGTGTGTGTGTGTGTGTGTGTGTGGTGTTGCTGTTGTTTTTCAAGACAGGGTTTCTCTGTAGATTTGGGGCCTGTCCAGGAACTCACTCTTGTAGACCAACCAGGCTGGCCTCGAACTCACAGAGATCCACCTGCCTCTGCTTCCCGAGTGCTGGGATTAAAGGCATGCGTCACCACTGCCAGGCAAGGATCTTTCTCTTAATACACTTTGTGAAACGTAAGGCTCCCAAGAAGCATGGTTGTACACACGTATAACCCCAGCACTCAGGAGGCCTGAGACAGAAAGATCAAACAAGTTCAAGGATACCCCTGGCAGTTCTTTATGAATTTGAGGCTAGTCCAGTGTAACCGTGAGTACCAGGCCAGTCAGAGTTACATGGTAAGATAGATATAGATGATTGATAGATAGATAGAAGATAGATAGATAGATAGATAGATAGATAGATAGATAGATAGATAAAAATTTAAATTCAAAGCTGGACTACATGGTGAGCCTTTGTCTAAAAAAATAAAAGTTAAAAATAAATCTCATTTTTCTAATTCTATTTTGTTTTCTTTGGTGCAAACACTCAAGCCCAGGGCCTCAAAGAAGGTAGGTAAATGTTTTAAACCTGAGCTACATCCCTGCCTTTACTAATTCCTCTCCATGAACTATGCAGTGTGCTCACCTATGCAGTCTCTTTCCCAACGATAATTAAGGAACTACATGTCTCAGATAAAAGTGCCATCTATTCCGGGTGGTGGTGGTACATGGTTTTAATCCCAGCACTTGGGAGGCAGAGGCATGCAAATCTCAGTGAGTTCTAGGCCAGACTGGTCTACAAGAGCTAGTTCCAGGACAGGCAGGGCTACACAAAGAAACCCTGTCTCGAAAAACCAGGAAAAAAAGTACTATCTAGCCTAGGTGCACCAGTAGACGATAGAATCTGTTCCTAAAATAGAATCATAGACTTTTGAAATCAGAAGGAACCTTGAAGGTCACCTTTCATTTCTAGAGGGAAATAGTACCCAGAAGGAGTCTACCCAAGGTTAAGTGTCTACACAGAACCCACATTCACAATACAAAATTCTAAGAAGAAGAAGGAGAAGAAAAAAGAAGAAAAAAAGAGAAAGGAAAAAAGAAAAGCTCTTCTGAGAAAAACACAATCTTTAGTAAAATACCTTAGGAATTTAAGAAAATAAAAAAAACCTAAGCAGTTTTTTAATTAAGTCTAAATTTAGCCACTGATTCTAAAAGCTTAACATGAGGTGCTAGACGGCAAATACTTATGACAGCTTTTCCTTTTTTAAAATGTGTATGGTTAGCTTGCCTGTGTGTGTGTCTGTGCACCACATACACGTGGTGCCCTCAGAGGCCAGAAGTAGTTGTCAGATTCCCTGGAACTGGAGATACAGGCAACTGAGTGTTGCCATGCGGGTGCTGGGAATCCAACCCAGGTCTTCTAGAACAAACAGTGCTTCTGTGTGCTGAGCCATCTCTCCAGGCCTTTTCCTTATTTGTTTAAATAATTTGTTATTATGAGGTGTGAGTGTGTGAGCATAGGCAGATTGGAGGACAACCTTATGTAGTTAGTTCCTCCTTCCACACACGCATGGGGTCGGGATAGAGCACCCTTGTCCACTGAGCCATCTCACCAGCCTCCTTGTAGAAAAATCTGAAGCAAACAAGTTGTATCACACACTCACTCACACACACACACACACACACACACACCTATGGTTGTCATAATTAGAAGGGAAAACACAGCTATAACAGCTATATTATTGTACAACCAATGACATAGACATTATGAGGAGGAAAACTTTATAAATAATCTCAAACCATGCTCACAAAAACAGTAACTCCAGGAAAACCAACCTCCTATCAATCCCCAATATAAAGGAAATCTTTCAATCAGTTGTTAATAAAAGCGCAAACAGTTGGGCAAGGTGGTGCCCATCTTTAATCCCAGCCCTCATCTCTCAGACAGGTCTCTGAGTTCAAGGCCAGCCTGGTCTACAGAGCGAGTTCCAGCCAGCCAGGGCTACAGAGAGAAACCCTGTCTCGAAAAACCAAGCAAGAGCACAAACTACGTCCTCTACTCATGCTTATGAGAACACTTGGAAGTAGACTATTTCTCAGAGTTAGAGCTTGAAAAGGAATAATGACTATGCTCTTTTTATTCTTTCCTTGATGTAAAATTCTTTAACTTAAACCAGGCGGTGGTGGCGCATGCCTTTAATCCCAGTACCTGGGAGGCAGAGGCAGGCGGATCTCTGTGAGTTCGAGGCCAGTCTGGTCTGCAGAACTAGTTCCAGGACAGGTCCCAAAGCTACAGAGAAACCCTGTCTCAAAAACCAAATAAATAAAATGCAAAAAAAAAAGTCTTTAACTTACCTGTAGGAATATGTTTCTCAGCTCATGAGGATCACCTCTCTTGGTTGTATGCACCTATAAGGGTATGGGGTGGGGATGGGTTAATGCTTAGCTAGAAACCATACAATCTTTTTAGATTATAGTTTACTTCTGCTAATAACGTGCTTATCTTTTCAAAGGGTATTTAGTGTAAAAACAACCCTAAAGCTTAATTGCTGATAACACCTGTCAAACTGGGGATCTAGAGCTAAGGGGTGGGAAAAATGGGTGTGAACAATCCAAGATACAGCAAATTACAGACGGCACTTCCTCTGAACTGGAAAGGGAAACCAAGCAATATAATCGTTTGCGTTATTCCACATCTACTAGCTCTACAGTAGCAACCACCAAGCTGTAAATCCAGAGAACCTCAAGAGGGGAGCAACAGGGGACGTAAAACACCCAAATTAATACCCGGGCCTAGCAGCTTTTCTTAGGGAAAGCAGTAACAACACATCGTCATCTCGGCGACCCTTTCTCCATCCAACCTAAACCTTGCGAGCTGCCACAAAATAAACGGATACTTTCGACATCCTGCAACCTGTCACACAAATGTCAGCCAGTGCCCTGGGCTGCACTGAGGCCCCAAATGACAACACCCACCCCCTCCCCCACCGCGGATGCCTGGGTATCCCCGGCTTTCCTGTCCACTTGTTCTCACTCCCTCTCCTATGCTCTCCAACTCTGTCCTCGCAATCCCATGTACCTAGGGCAAAACACTCTTTTCCTCCTCCCAACCGTGGTCCTCACGAGCCCCTCCAACTCACGATCCCTCCTCCTTCCCCTCCCCCAGCCGGGCATCCTCTTCTCTCCGGTCCAAGCCCCGCACAGCTCTCCACCCGCAATCTAGAGCCCCGGGACGCGCTGGCCAAGAACCAGGCAAAGAAAGCAAAGGAAAGAGGCGGGGGGCTGCACTCGGGGCCCTTGGAATGTCTCTTATGCAATAAAGGCAGCAGCAGAGAGTTGGAGTCACCTTGACCGCCATGCTGTGCTCGGAAGCCGGGAACGAGCGAGTGAGCGAGCAGGGCCGAGCTGTCAGGGCGCGCGCGCGCCACGGCCCGGGGC